TGGGGCGGAGTTATCTTTTCACAGGGGGGTAAGTTACACTTTAAGTATTTTTAAAACAAGTACTTTTACACTTTTACTTGTGTAAAAAAGCTTGAGTTGATACGTTCACTTCTAAAGAAGTATTTTTAAACACTACGTGAGTAATGTAAAAGAATAATTTTGACAACACTGGTTATTTGATTCCTAAAAAAACAACAACAATGATTGTGTGTGGTGCAGTAGGTGGGCTGAGGGAAAAAAGGAAAGAAGAAGAAGAAGAAAAAAAGAAAATATACTTTGGCTTAAATGTTGAACAACCTAAGGCAGTAACAACACTTTGTCCTTTCTGTACATCAATAATATTAACCCAGTGTTACAATAAAGGAGGAAAATAATGCACTCTTTGACACAAGGTTTAAACATGCAAATCATGAGAAGTTCAATATTTAAAATCATAAAAAATACTAAGCCAGGTTTTGCTCTTCAATGTTTTAATACACAATGTCATAATTTACTTATGTGTCCTTTCTCATCATAACATTTCCCTCTGTTTTAAACGAACTACTTGTTTGGTTTTGTAGATGCAGCTGCTCTTGTGTAAAAGAGGCACAGTAACCCCGCCCCCTTCCTGTTCATCGTTGAGCTTTCTGCTCTTGCTGCCAAATGAACAAGAGGAGAAACTGGCTGGATGGGTTCAAACACACATACTGACTAGCCTGTCTGCCTCTCACACACGCATGTTTTCAAGAATAAAAAAATAATGCTTCATTCTAAACTTTCACCAAGCATCAAGCCTAAAGGAAAATACACATTTATAAAATACATAATGTACACTGCTATCAGTTATTTACATCAACACAATCCAGATGTAAATTTCTAACAAAAACCACATTAAATCTAATATTTGGAGATGTGTTACCTTGGGAGTGTTGATCCATTGGACTTGGAGGGGGCCCCATTCCACTGTGTCCCCCTGGCCTCATGCCCATTCCTTTCATCTGTCCATAGCGAGGGTCATCAGGCATTCCCTTCTCATGCATGGAGTCCATGGGCTGTGTAAAGTCATGTGATCATCATTATTACAGAGATGTTTCTTTTTTTTCTGAATCTTATTTATGCTTTGCAAATTATTTAAAAACGTGTTGTACTTTGTGCATTTGATGCATGTTGTCCTGAGGATATCCTGAGGGTCCCTGTGGAGGGTGGGGGTGTCCAGATCCTGGAGGTCCTGGACTGGGCCCCATCATGCTGTGGGCCGAGCCTGGTGAGGGACCAGGGCTGGGGCCCATCATGCCTCCTGGAGATGGACCTGGGCCTGGAGAGGGACCGGGCCGAGGTGTCCCTCCCATCGGAGGGTCAGGGGTGGACATCTCTCAGGAGAAACGTTGAGCGTGTAGCAGCAACAAGTTCCCCTAAAAAGACGACGGGAGGAAATAAGACCAAGATCAAGCTGTGTTTAATTATTTTAATTATGTTAATACTATAAAAAAGCTAAAAACATGCTTGTTTAATTTTTTTATTTTAAAGTGAAATCAGCTGTGTAGACTTTGTACAACATAAATTTGTGTACAATTTGTCAATTAAATTGTTAAAAAAATAAAACTCTTTTTCTTCACATTGTCTTAAAATAATTGTCAGACTAGCAGAAGCAAATACAATTTGAAAATATTACACATACTTATCAAGCAATCTCATATCAAATTTTCATTGTTGGGAAGCACAGAATTTAAA